AACGACTTACACAAAATAGTCCTTGATGACAGCGCAAGAAGGAGCTGCGCTGCATGTCCAATTATGAAGCCGATGGCTGTTTAACGATCGCCAACTCAATGGCTGACTTTATTGATATTCCATTCTTGCGCTGCAATGTCTACATCGGTCAGATACTATTTGAATCATGAACGGGCATCAATTAAGGACATGAACCCTCGGTCAGAAAAGTTGCGACTCTGTTGCATGGCGGGGTTGATCGCTGGGTTTCCCCAACAAGTAATCTTCAGGGCCCTTCAGGGCCGAAACAAAGGGTCTGGAAATGGGAATCCGGATGCGGGAACGATTGACGAGATGCAGAGTGCCAAGCGGGTAGCCACGAGAGTTGAAGACGACAGATGCTCCGCGAATGCGCGCAAATTGACCGGTTGTATCCTTGAATATCCACAAACGTGAATGCAGTCGCCGTAGATTGCGAGGTATGCATATCAGCTCAGGGTGCCACCTCGCTCGCGAGCATGAGCCTGTTACGGTAGGCAGTGGGCTGAGGCAGAGTGATTTGGATTGGTAGGCAAGACTGGTCAAGCCAGACCGCAAATCAAGACAACCGGTGAGATAACAGCCAGTTAGTCTGGCACTCACAAACATGTAAGTCACAGCCAACGGAACCAGAGTCGGCGCTCAACATTCTTAGTTAATAATTGGGCGTCGGGCAGCGAGCAAGAGGAGGGCTGATTCAAGACATGAGCCGTCACACGCAGAAACCACACGCCCCTCAGATATTAGGCGTTATGTAGGCACTGTCGCGATCGTGATTTGCCTAAGGAGGTAAGAGAAAGGAAGAGGGGGTCATGTATGCATGAGGTTGGCTCTTGGATGAGAAGCAGAAGTGCAAAAGAGTCCATTGCAGTGTAGTGGCTACTACACAGGTAGGTGAGGAACGTGGGAGTTAGCGTACATAGTTGAAGATAATCAGTGATGGTGTCGCAAAAGCCCTCGTGTGATCTTCCAAAGTTCAGATGGCATCATGATCGACCAGATATGAGCATGTGTTAATGTAGGGACGCGCATCTGCCGCCAAACAAACGCAGGCCAGATCTCTTGCCCGGAGACTTCTGTAGGAACAGGAAGATGGACCATACCAAGCTCGGGACTAGCTGGGTTTGGGAGATTTGGCGCCGGGCCTCGTGGACGTTACCAGTTCTGACCAAGCCACTCAGCGCCTCCCAGGACATGATGGATGGCTAAATAGGTTAGGTGGGATGTGTACCTACATGCTGCATACCAAGGCCGTAATGGCGCACGAACTCCTAGCATCACCACTTCCTTGGCCAACAGAGACAGCCAGCCAGCCAGCCAGCCAGCCTCATGCATTGAGACTGCGGTTTGGGCTGAGGCAGGACGAGCGAGAACGCAGCGTCTCGCTTGCGTATACTATGAGAAAACACAGTGGGAAATCGCATCTCGGTGACCACTAAAGATGGTGATGCTCGTTCTGTGGAGACGCTGGGCTGATTGATTACCGTATTCGTGCAACTGGGGGAACTGGCGTCTGTTCCCGTTGCTCACCTCGCGCACCCGCGACATGGTTCTTTGACATTGCTTCCGTTATTGAATCTCGGCTGGGTAGGGGCTGTTGGTTGAAGCAAATTGTCTATTCTTCGTTCAAAATAAGTTGAGATTCTCTCTGGCCTCCTACCTCATTCTTCCCCACTCACCCTATTCCAGAATTCCTTGGGTGGAATTGACTTCATCAACCAATTCCTGGCTGAAGCTCTCGGATCGGATGTCAGTGAGGGAAATGACCGAGTCGAAATGGCGAATCGCCAATTGCACTGACTAGGTAATAATGGATTGGACAATGGCATGAGTCAGAGGGCAAAGCAGGGCAGAAAAAGTGACAGGATGAGAAGTTGGTTTGTAATTGAGCGCTTACCTTTTCTTTACCTTAGTCGAACTAACACAAGAAAAGGCAAGGCATTCAGTCAGTTTGATGGAAGGGAAGGAGGAAGACGGCGCTCACTCACACCTTCCCCCCCGTGATTCAGTTTCCAGACGGTGGGATATTTTGGGAAGGGTCAGCCCGTCACCGTCCGTCAATCACCACTAGCGGTATTCAAGTTCCAGTGAGGTCACACCCCCCGTGGCTAATGAGAGGTCCCTGATGACCTGTGCACGATCACGCATGACTGCTGAGTACGGAGTACAAGATGGGTGATTGGGGACTGCGACATTGGAGGAAAAGTAACTGTGTGATTCAATTGATACGAGCAGTTGTCAATTGACAAACTTGTTGTGAATTGAAGCATCTCCAACCCGTCTAGGCTCTCTCAATGGGCTATGCTTCCAGAATAATGCCCCTCGCAAAGTCTATCTGAGCTCAGATCCACTTCTATTCATGGAACCCAAATGTTTGGCATCTGAGGTGAGTCTGAGTGAGCTGCAGCTAAAACCCGCGCGAGTGCAGCCTGCAGGCAGTCACTCACCGGGGGCCCTGAAAGGGAAAAGCAACGAATCTCTACTCTACCTAAGCTAGGTAGGGAAATGGAGGGCTGAAAGAAGGCTGCTGAATTGAGATATCCATTGGACGATACAAAGCGTCCATTTTCAGGCATTGATGAAAGCCATTGAAACAAAGGAGAATGGCCATGCATGAATAGGGTGTGTCGCTAGTCAGTTTTGCATCGTCGCATTGTCACATTAGATTGTGGCTGCGTCAAAATTCACGTTTGTTTTACTAATCACACTCCAAAGTGATCTTCCACTCCCTGTCCTGACACCCTCCTTCCCGTCCATCTCCCTCTGTTTCCACAGGACGCCACCCGACTGTGTTAGGTGTGAGTGTGAGTGAGAGTGAGACTGTCTGTCTGTGATGTGAGTGAGTAAGGTAGGAGCCATTGATTGCGAGCATCTGGGCCTATTGTGTTAGTAGCAATCCAATTCATATCAATCATGGCACGCGCCTTTTCAGTGCTATTCGCTTTCTCTCCTTCTTTTCTTCTTGTTTCACTCTTTCTTCACTTCTGCAATATCGCACGAGCCGTAACTGGCTAATGGACCCTTTGCGCTCTGTTACCCACACTTCAACATCTCAGCCAGGCTCTAATAATCGTCTCTGAGCATCAATCCATCAATCAATCGACATCTCGTTCCACTGGCCCCCCACTCGCGCCCACTCTCCTAAAGTCTTTGAGTCTGAGCTGCTTGTCAATAAACCAATCAAGTCCACCTAACCCGAGATACTACTTGTCAAGCGCACAGTCGTCACAGTGGTTCCTGCCCTGACGCCTTCACCAACAGAAAGGAACTTGACTTCCAATTCACTACGACGGGAGAGTGTAGTAATCAATTCAATTGCGACCCAATCCATTCCCAATTGGACTTCCATTGAAAGCACGGGAAAGAGCCCGTCATTGATGCTAGTGCTGGTTTGTTACCGAGCCGAGACAAAGACGACTCCTCTCTTTGCTTTGCTTCTCTCCATCTTGAACTCTTCTCTTCGTGTTTAGCATTGCTGCGCGCACACAATTGAGCCAACTGCATCTCCTCTGTTGCATATTCACGCAAGGTATACTTTCCTTATAAGAGTATCATCATACTCTGACCCTTAATTGGTGTTTTCTGTCTGGCGTGTGCCGTTTTGCGTTTTGCATGCGCACACGCGCGCAAACTCCCGTCGCTCCTCTATAGGCATATATGCCCAAGAGGGCATTCTACACATTGTTTTCCTCTTCGAGCCAGTTCACACACTTGCGGACTCGCCTTGAAAACTGTCTGTTCCTACCCGCTGCGCCCCAGGCCATTCAGTGATCCCCGTCTTCAGCAGGCATAGGCTGCCTTTGTTTCTCTGCCACATCATCAAGTCAAGCTCTCGGCCGACCCTCAAAAGTCGTCAGGTCGCGGCCAAACCAATTGCCCATTCGACTGGCTCGAGAGTCATTGCTTTCAAAAGTCATACGGTCTGGTACGGTGCCCGTCCCATAGATCGAACAACCCACGGCCCTATTACTGTTTCTCGGGGCCTTGTATCTTCCTTGGGATTCTCTGTTGAGGCTCCATCGCTTTACACCTCGCACTCTACTCTACTCTACCCTACTCTGCTCATTTACCCACGTCGACAATCGCATGTCGATTTGCAACAATTGAATTACACTGCACTCTTACAGTCATACGGTTGCCCCCCATTGAGTGTACCCCTGGCCCCGCCTGTTGAGTGCCCAGACACTCCTATCACCCCATACCCATATCAGCATTGACAAATAATTGCACCTACGTGCACTTACACACTCGAATCACTCCGGGCTCAGCGTTTTCATAAGAACTGCCCTTCCCACACTCTCCACCATCATTCTTCTCTTTTTTAAAGAAGAAATCATCTCGGACACTCTTCAATCCGTCTCGGAGGTAAACACAATTCGTCACTAAACGCCGAAGCAAACTCCGCTGCCTTGGGTCGACAGGACAGTCACAGTCCTGCGCATCTTACTCAAGCACCAAGGGACTAAGAGGGTCTCGTCAAGATCTCACACATTACACCCCCCCCTCCTTATAACTCCGCCCCCGTCGCCCCCCCTCCAGTTTCGCCGCCCTGTTGCTGCCTACTCTGGTCTAGGCGCCCATCCAGTCACTGACAGCGCACTTACATACACTTTTGGGTTGGGCATACGCAAACAAAGTTGACGAGACTCATTCGGGCTTATTCAGGCCTTTCGTCTGAGCCTATTAATTGAGAGCCCCTCGCCCTTTTAGATTGTTCTAAAAGGTCTCAACGGTTTCGCCACACTCCCTATTGTCCACGTCACAGCCATTGTGAAGACTGACTGACTGATTGCGTCTCGTGGCTGACAAACCACTTTCGCTTTATCTGCACTATGCAACATTCTACCACTTTCGACGACAATACAATCTCGTCAGTCAAATTGCAGACTGAACGAACTCCGTCTCCCCTCCCCTCTATTCATTCTCTTTCTCTTCACTCCTCACCATCCGGCCCCTCAAACAGCACAAACAACACCACAACAATGGCGGCCAATTCTCCTCGCTCTGCGCAAGCGACCAGCGCAATGCCTCCTCCAGCCCATCCTGCCTCAATTCCTTCCAGGATGCATATCAACAGTCTGATGTCGCCTCCAGACCAAGCGCACGATAGCTTCTATTATCACACCGGAAAGGCCGACTCCTCTTCCTCCTCCAGCAAGAACGCTTCAGGACAGACTCCAATGTCTCCTCCCATCTCGCCCTGCAACAGACCGATGGCCACCACCGAGACACCAACAAACTCAACGGGCCGTGATATCGTCCTCTACCCAGATGATGCGTCTTCCAGTCCAGCCCAGATTCCCCTATTTCCAACCACCGAGGACCGTGACCACAGTCGAACGATTGAGGAACACATACAAAAGAATATCAACGACAAGATTTTTGTTGAGGTGCAACCCCCGACACGCAATGACTATGAGCTTGTGGCGTCGTTTCAATCGCAACTCAACACAGCTTACGCACAAAACCCCAGGGCATGGATGTTGTCAGTGACTAAGCAGACTCGTGACGACAATCATCGCATAGCTCAAGCCAAAGCACGCGCTCGTCCCTTGGCGGCCAAAGCCCCCAAGATATCTCGGCCTCGCTCCGATAATAATCGTGTTCTGAAACCTACCGGGCGAACTATTCGCGTTCAATCCACGAACAGCCCTAGACGACCAACGCCTCAGCTCAGTGCCAGTGACATCGCTGAGCCTAAACCTCGGGCTCAAGGCCCAGACAAAGATTTTGCATCACTGCTGGACCTGTGTCCGAGCGTGCTCCCCAACAAAGCGAACTGGTTCAAAGTTGATTGGAAGGGATCGCCACTCGACAACAGCCAGGATCCTCATCGACATCTTCTTACTCCTGACGAAAGAACGCTGGCAAGCAATCTGCGCCTTGACTGTGCGACGTACCTAGCGAGCAAGAGACGCATTTTCATAGGAAGGCTCTCCAATTATAGGCGAGGGAAAGGCTTCCGCAAGACCGACGCCCAACAGGCTTGCAAGATTGATGTTAATAAGGCCTCCAAGCTCCACAGTGCCTTTGAAAGTGCCGGTTGGTTTAGGGAGGAACTCCTGGAGCCATTGAAGGACGTCATTCTGAACTAGTGGAGTGGCCTTCACCATGTTGGACGGTTTCGAACCTCGTTGGCCACGGCGTAGCTTGTCCTTCATTTGCCGCTTGTCTTCTGAGCAATGATGCTTGTCACGGGAGTTTCACTTCACTTCACTTCACTTCATTTCAAATTTCTCTGCTGAACCCAAATGATTGGGTCAGTATATGAGGACCGATCGGAATCACGGCACATTTACTTTTCTCTTTAGGCGATACACCATAGCATTAGGGACTCTCATCTTCACGATACCCGGAGTGCATATATACCTGACCCTGACCCCTTTGCGATCATGTCACACCACTCCACCGTTTTCTTTTATTTCATTTTCTATCATGGGTTTCGGCCTTGTCTTGTCTACCTCGCCCCTCTGAAGTCGTGTCATCTTCGAGGTTGTGGACAGCGAGGTACAGCATGGATGGATGTTTGGCGTTATCATGCATGGCCCCTCCCAGCAAACTCCGCTGGGGTCTAGGGGGCCATTTTATTTGGACTACCAGGATACAAGGGTTGTGCGTACATGTAATGGCTAGTTATTGCCGTGGACTTGAACATCACTGGATGATTTCAGGTTAACGAGTATTGACTGTAAGCAGGCGCGCGCCTAGGCAGAGGCACAACCTTCTGACCTTGAGCAGAGATTGGATTACGGGTGCCCTTTGGGAGGGACTACCTAGACAATAGCGAAATGAATTGTTTAGTCAAGCACTTATTGTATTGTCTGTGAGCGTGATGGATGAGAATGCCGACCCGATTGATGGAAGGGCAAAAAACGCCTGCTTGACATGTGTCGCAAGATCAAACGGACGTAGGGGCCCTCGAAAGAAAATCCATTGACTTCAGCCCTACACTACATCACGATTTGGGGGCCGGTTCACTTCCTCTAGAGGTTAAGCGTGAGCCATATTTCTGGGTAAGTAAGGGACATAACCTAAGCATGTTCTGACTGATGTGCGCGGGTGAAGCCGCCGTTGCAGCGGGACCAAGCCATTGGCAAAAGAGGTACATTCCCAGCGATGTCTCACCAAAAGAGTACTTTAGCTAGGGGAGGGGAGTGTGGACGGGACAAGGCCAGGCCAGGCCAGGCCAGGGATATGGGTGAGTGGTGGAGTTGGATAGCGGGAGCTTATCGGGTGGAGCAAGATGAGAATGGAAAAAGAAAAGTTACGATGTGGCGCTGTGGCTTGAAGATGTGCGTTCAGTGTGTAAGAGGAACTCATCGTTCAGGACTTGTGATGTTTATTTGTGAGAGATCGATAAGAAGGATGTTTATTTAAAGACACGTTGTGTTGCGGAAACGGCTTGAACATGCACGTGTATTTTCAGAGGCTCAATGATAAATGGTGAAGCTTGTAATGAACCTTGTTTGCCAAGTCCCTCTCACGTTTTGGGTAGAGGATCACATTGGTGGTACAATTGAAGCAAGGTGTCTTCCGAAAAGCCTACATGATGATACTATCCAGAATAACTTCTGCTGTCAATGATGTGATGAAGAGGGAGAGGCCAATGAGGATATAGTGACTCGGCATTGTGAATGGCTTGTGAATGGGTAATACGTGTCCGTAGATATCAAGCTCCGAGATTTGACTCAACAGAAAGCGAGGCTGTAGATAATTCCTGGTCTTTAATGCTTAACTCTGTCAATGTTTTGTGGTAGCACATGCCCTTTCGTTGCTGCGCCAATGAGTCCTGATGAACTTGGTCCAGACCATTGTCAAGGCCATCAGGGTTGTCAGAGCCGCAACCATGCTCTGTATGTTATGTTGGACCAGTCGAAGCCCATTGTCACGATATGGTTGACATCTTACAATTTTCATAAACCCAATTTGCGGACTCAGTTTTCAACCAATTAGCAGCCTTGTCATCCGGTATGGTGTAGTGGCTAACATTTCGCGCTCTCATAACCTGAGAGATCAAGTACCGCGGAGCCCAGGGTTCGATTCCCTGTACCGGAGTTTCTCTTTTGCATTTTTGGCATCTGAATATGTAAGGTGTCTGTCGTGTTGTCTACTTTTGTTTATGGTGATGATCTGTTTGAGTAAGTGGGCGGCGGCGCCTGTTGGAGTTTGACTGAAAAGTATTCTATCATCAGTCAATTTTTAGCAATTGCCTTTTGGGCATATAAAATGGAGTTGGGGCAGTGACTCCAGATGATCGATTGAGATTATCACCCGCTATCTATTTCACTCTGAGAATTGTTTTTGGAGTCAAAGCTATTAATGTAACGTCTTCTCGGTGTTATGACTTATGCTGAATAAAGCCTGTCTCATGCTAGAGAGAGAGGGGGCCATGTTCATACGACCAAGGACATTCACTCTCAGCTGCTGAACCAGTAGTAACTGGAAAACAAGTATAGAAGTCAGTATAAGCCATGCATTCATCACCGAAACGAACTGGAGTCGTGCTTGTCAATCATTACGGTTGATTCATTATGTCATGTCCCTCTATGATACAGCTTTTGTCCCTCCATCAAATTTACTGGCCAGCGGCAATAGTGTAACCACCATCAACAGCAACAGTCTGTCCGACCAAGTACTGGTTTGTAGCAAGGAATAACACTGTAGCAGCCATATCCTGGTCCTTGCCAGCCCGTCCAGCGGGAACCTTCTCAGCATACTTCTCCTTGGGGATGAAACTCTTCTGCGCCTCATCACTTCCATCGGTGGTCATCTCGGAGGGGAAGACACCAGGTGCAATACCATTGACGCGGATCTTGAGCTTGTTGCTCACAATCTCGGCGGCGAGCATGCGTGTGAGATGCACGGCTGCGCCCTTGGAGGCGTTGTAGGCAAAATGGTGCTGAGACTTCTGGATAAGACCGCTGATGGAGCTGATGTTGATGACAGTTGAACTCCAGCCCTGGTGCTTCTCACTGCTCTTCTGCAAAAGCGGCAAGAAAGCAGCAGTAGTGAAGTACATGCCCGTGACGTTGGTGTTGTAAGTTGAGTTCCAGTCCTCGAATGTAGCATCCTTGTTGTCAAAGAGGTTCTCCTTCATCTCCTGCGCAGAATCGGCCTCGACCTGGAACGAGTTGCTCGAGATGCCAGCGTTGTTGACGAGAATGCAGAGGCAGTTTTCACGGGAGGAGTACTCCTCGTAGAGCTTCTGAATACCCTCCTTGTTGCCGATGTCGGCTTGGATGGGGATGATCTCGCCGGCGATGTTCTTGCCGTACTTCTCGACGACGGTGTCGAGCTTCTCCTTTGTGCGGCCGGTGATGTAGACCTTTGCGCCGTTGACGGCGAGGGCTTGAGTGGCCATGAGGCCGATGCCAGAGCCGCCACCTGCATCTGTTAGCCACACTGCTCACTGATGATGTCGTTGAGATAGACGTACCTGTTACGAGTGCAACCTTGCCCGAGAGATCAAACAAGGCATCGCGAGAAAAGTCTCGGTGCTCACCACCACTTGCTGGTTGTGTTCCCGACATTGTAGCTGTAGTGTACTGAAAGTCCTTTCTGTTGCTTGACTGAAAGGTTCGTAGTTGATTTGAAGTTGTGATGCAAGAGTTCTTAACAAAAGGAGTCGTGAGTCGAAGTGACGGTGCAAGAAAGCTTCTGGAGCCAAGTCTAAGAAACTGCCTGGACATGATTCTTATAACAAACACTTCTTCAATTAAAAAGAGGGGTAGCTAAGGTACACAATAAATAGTAGAAACTGCAAACTGGCAAGAACTGGCACTTCAACCAATGCGCATCTCAACTTATGGCCCTCTCTTGTCTCATACACCCAATGACGAGCTCATGATGAGATCAGCACTTTCTCTTCTGCTCAGTCCATGACGAAAGACAGCGGAGGAAGTGATCCGTGAATTGAGAGAGGAGGAAAGGAAGGGTATGACAAGCGAAACAACAATTGGAGTCTTTTGCAGCGTGAGGCTCTATCATGACGTCGACGTGGGGTCAAGATGATGATTCGATCGGTCCTCATCGCGATCTTCATAAGCTTACAAAGAAAAGGTTGAAGCAAAACCGTTGATCGGCCAAGCCATGTATTACCGTATCTAGAAATCAACAGGTGAATTGACCTCTCATGTTCAGAAATGACTTCGTAGCGTGTCATGACTTCTAAGTAGAGGCGTGAGGCTTAACATCTACCCCACTGTAGTTCCAACGACATCAACACCATCACGATCCTTTTCAGAGGCATTGACAGTTTCAACAACACTCGATTGTTTCATTCACAGTAATCCTACACTTGTACCAGATGTCGTCTCATTACAGACCTCAGCGGCGTTACCCAAACCAAACGCCATTCCATGCATCCCAAGTCTCCTTCACCCTCGCGAGCATCATCTATTTAACCTCGATATGCTGCACTGCCTTCTGCCACTTTTGCTCGTCCGTCCTGTTACACTAGATTAGTCCATGCCCATCAAGGGTGTACGTAGTAAACACTTACTTGTCAAAGCGCAATAGCTTGCCCAGCACCGGCACAAGCTGAGCTCTTAGCTTGGTGTCCTTCTGTTCCAGGAACTGCAGTAGAATCGTCTTGAGATAGACCGTATCTGGAGTCCCGCCAGCGGCCGGCGAGCCATTGCTTCCGCTTCGTACCGAATCGAACGAGCTGCGGCTTGAGTTGGCCACGAGCTTGGTCTGCACTGACTTGAGATCCTTGGATACCTTCTCGTACCGTTGCCTTGCCTCCTCCAACATTCGTCGTAACTCGGCTCGCTGCTTCTCAACATCACGGACTTGTTTCTCTGATGCATCGAGAGCTGTTCGCAGCTGTGATGCTGTTGTTCGGAGTTCGTCCGCCTCAGCCTCGGCCTTCTCTTCCACCGATTCGAGCTCTTCTCGTCGTCGACGCCACTCCTTCTCACGCTGCTCAAGCTCATCCCGTTCGTGTGTCAAAGTCTTGACCTCACGCTCCAGATCCTTCAACTTCAGCTTCAGGTCTTCCGTCTCTCGTGTCTTGCGTCGCGCAAGGGTACTCGACTCATCCTCAATTCGATCTCGTTCCTCAACAGCTGCCTCCATTCGCGCCCTCATCTCT